CTTTTAAGCTAACTCCTGTGTCCTTTTGATATGCTGCCATGATTTTGTTGTTTTTTGTTTTGTTTTAGCATTTCCTTACTTTTTTTTAGCACTTCCTTGCTTTATGGCATTGCCGTACTCCCGGCACCGCATAATGTTCCAGGCTCCTCCTGCGCTTTCCTCATTTCAGCCTAGAATCAATCATTTCTCTAGAAAGCCTTGGTTCCTTTAACTGGAGAATGTTGTTAGAAACCGAGACGTGGGCACTAGATATGTTCATTGCTAATGGGATGACTTAGCTTCTAGGCTCTCTCAAGGGACAGAACTAGGAAATATATGTATACTAACACATATACAGCTTTACTTAATTCTGTATATACCCACCTATAGGGACTCCTGATGTGGCAATATAGGATAAACATGGGACTGCTAACCAAAAGGTTCCGACCCATAACTATGGGTCAGAACCGACTCGATGGCACTTAACAAAACAAAAAACAACCAAAAGGTTAGTGACTCAAACCCATCAACCACTCCTTGGAAACCCATATGATCACTGTGAGTCAGAACTGACTCAATGGCATATAACAACAACAACACTCACTTATATGTATATTAACTCTGATTTCAATGTGATATCACTGGATATATTGTAGCTTCCCCTTTTCTCTATTTGTAACTACTTTCTCTGTCAGTGGGAAATCTAGTTCTCTTCATTCACTACACATATACTTATTTATTCAATCTTAGTAATAAGGGAACCACATTGGGTTACGCCAGCACCCCGGTTAGATTTTAGTCATTTATTTTTTGGAGCATGTGGAACATTTCCACAACTCTAAAAAGTCAGCTGTAAATATTTCCCTATCATCTCTACTAACAAATGCCTCCATCGTTCCATTATTTCCATCTGTTCTTACCCAACACTCTCTCCCCACCAACAAATAGGCAGCCGATATTGTTAGTGTCTGTTTTATTCTACCTGTATTTCCTTTGTATCTATGAACAAATGAGTACATTTTCTTATATCCTCATCTTTCTGACATGAAGGGTAATATACGGAGATAATTTTTGCACATAGCAATATATCCTGAGAATGACTGAATATCAGTTAATAGAGACCTTCCTATGGGTTTTTTTTGCAGCTGCATCGTTCCTCATTGTGTGGATATCTCAGTGGTTGATTCAAGCACTCATTTAGCTGGACATTTAGGATGTTTCCATTATTTTTTCATTTTCACAGTACCACAATGAATAGGAGGACCCTATGAATCGGAAGCTACTCACCACACTTAACAACAACAACAACAATGAATAACCTAGTGCATGTATAGTTCATGAAGTTAGAGATGTATTTGCAGGGTAGATTACCAGAATGAGATTGCTAGATCTACAGGCAAGCGTATTATACATTGTTGTGATATTGCCAAAATCCCCTACAGAAGAGCTGATGAGTTTGAACTGCAACCAGCCATGTCTGAGAGTGCTTTGTTAATAGAGTAAGTGTCATGCTTTTCATTTCTAGTAATAAGGTAAATGATAAATATTATCTTGTTGTTGTTAAGTGCCATCGAGTCAGTTCTGACTCATAGCGACCCTGTATAAGGTTTCCAAGTAACAGTGATGAGTTTGAACCTCTGACCTTGCAATTCAAACTGACCTTGTGGTCCAGTGCATTGTCCTGCCGCGCCACACCAGAACTCCAATAGTATCTTCTTGTTGTTAAGTACCATCAATTCAGTTTAGACTCATAGTGACCCTGTATAGGGTTTCCAAGGTGCAGCTGGTGGATTTGAACTCCTGACCTTGTGGGTCACAGTACAGAGCTGATCCTACAGTGCCACAGAAGGATCCAATAGTATCTTTTGTTGTTGTTGTTGTTATGTGCCGTGGAGTTGGTTCTGACTCATAGCGATCCTGTACAGGGCTTCCGAGGCTGTAAATCTTTACGGGAGCAGAAAGCCTCATCTTTCTCCTTCGGAACAGCTGGTAGTTTCAAACTGCTGACCTTAAGGTTTGCAGCCCAATTCGTAACCATTATGCTACCAGAGCTCCTTAATAGTATCTTAGTATTTGCAAAATATTTTAAAATGATTCATCATCAGATATAAAAGTGTCCCAACTTCATTCATAATTAGAAAAATAAAACATTACAACAATATCTTAGTATTGCTGAAATGCTTTATTTTTCTAATTATGAATGAGTTTGGAACACTTTTTCATCTGATTAAGGACCATTTGAAAATGTTTTGTGAATTGTTCGTTTTTTCTCCATCCTTCTACTAGCTTTTTATTCCTTTGTCCCTCAAAAATTTTTTTCTAGCTCCTAAATGCATTTATTAGACAATGAGTAAGATAACAAATAAATATCAACACCAACTCCAGATGAAAAAAGAATGAGTAAAACAGCCACCAGAGATTGAGTTCAACTTCAAAGATGACTTGTCCTTTGATTTTTAAGAGTTTTTAATAATTGAAGAGACTAGCACTTGATCTGTGATCTATGTTACACACATTTTCTCCCTAGTTCTCAATTGTCTTTTTACCATGTTTATAAATGGTTTTGCCATTAAAATTTATATAATCAAATTTATGTTTTGTTTTGTTTTGTTTTTTTTGCTCTGGATTTTGGAACATACGTCTTTTTCTACACTTCGGTTAAAGAAAAATTTATCCATGCTTTTGTCTGTTGCTTGCATAGCTTTCTTTTTTCTTTTTCCCCTAATGGAGTGCTGGTCTGGCAATGTAAGATAAGAACTCAACTGTAAGCTTGGTTTAAACCATAAGGTCAGTGGTTCAAACTCACCAGCAGCTCCTTAGAAATCCTATACAGGGTTGCTTTAAGTCAGAACCAACTCACTTACCAACAACAACAAAGAATCCTAATATACCTGGAGTTTACATATGGAATTTATATTCCATCTTCAGTATGGTAGGTTGACGTTGTTGTAAAGTGCTGTCAAGTCGATTCTGACCCATAGCGACTGGTGAGCTTGAACCACTGATGTTGCAGTTCAAATGACTTTGCAGTCTGATGCATTCGCCCACAGCGCCACCCCAGGACTCCTCAGTATGGTATAGCCCATTATGGGTATAATTTTACCTTTTTCTGTATGGTTACCTAATTGACCAAGAACCTTTTATTAAGAAGTCAGGTTTTGCCATAGTGATTTGGACACCACTTTTATCACATACTTAATTTCTATTGTACTTGAATCTGTTGTTAGGTTATCTTATTTGCTGGTCAATTCTTCTACTCCTGTGCCAGTACCATGCTGTCTTAATTATAGAAGTTTTATTTTTTGTTGTTGTTGTTATGTGCCGTGGAGTCAATTCCAACTCATAGCAACCCTGTACAAGGTTTCCGAGCCTATAAATCTTTACGGAAGCAGAAAGCTTCATCTTTCTCCCGTGGGACAGCTGGTAGTTTCGAACTGCTGACCCTGAGGTTAGCAGCCCGATTCGTAACCACTACGCTACCAGAACTCCTTATAGAAGTTTTATAGCTAGGTTTTAATGTCTGGCAGGGCTGCGTACACACACCTCCCTAACCCCTGTAGTTTCTGTGTCAGGATTGTTAGGACTATTCCTGTGGGTATATTGTCAAAGGAAATGGTTTTGTGATAAAGACCTCTTTCTGGTTCTTAGTTTTGTTGCTAAGCATTTGATTCACAGTGCCATGTGGATCTGACCTACTTCTCCTAACTGCTGCTAATACTCTGTGATGCGTGTCTACCATATTTTATCCTCCATTCTCCTTGAAATGGATACTCAGCAAGCCTCCATCCAGTGGTGAGTTAGGGTTGACTTGAACGCGTTTATGAGGGCAGATTGTGTGTATATCTTCCCAACTTTGTGCTCATTGACATTATATTGGTAGTTTGAAACTGACCATGCAAACTGGCCACCAAAACTGGCAAATGCTATAAATCAGGGCTCCCCGTCTCCAACTCTCAAGAGAAATGGCTTTCCATTATTGCAAATAACATTACAGTCAACCGCTTTATCAACTTTAGGGAAATGGTAAAGGAATATGAACCTAGAAAAGGAATTGTTGGGTTTGAGAGTTTGTACATACCCAGTTTCCCAAAACAGACCAGTCTGCTATGTTCAATGAGGTGGACATTTAAACTCCCAGAACCCAAACCTGACTCTCACCATGAATCCACAGAGTCAAAGAGGTGCTAAATGAATGAACCGCCCTGTGCCAGGTCTCATGACAATGCAGAAGGTCAGAGGTCAGCAGAAGTACGCCAGGTATGAAGAGGAACTGAAGCTGCTCAGACGTCTCCCCACCTGGCAGTCAGGATTGGTTTGCCCTATTAATTCTCAACTTTGGCTGCCACTTGGTAGCTTTCAAACATATTTATATCTGGGTCCTACTCCCAGAGAGTCTGACTGTAATTGGTACAGCTGAGGCCTGGAGCTCACTTCAGAACTCCCCTGATGATTCTAACATGTGGCCAAATATGAAAAACACTGGCCTAGAACCAGGGAATTATGGTGGAGCAGTGGTTAACTGTTTAGCTGCTAACCAAAAGACCACCAGCTGTTCTGTGGGAGAAAGACATGCCAACGTCCCTCTGTAAACATGTACAGCCTGGGAGCCTTCTGGGGCAGTTCTACTCTATCCTGTAAGGTGTTCCTGAGACAGAATCCACTCAGACAGCCGTGGGTTTGGTTTGGGGGTTGACTTCGAACCAGGGACAGTCTATTGGAGCAGCGAGCTGGCCAGGGCTGGGTGGAGCTAAGGCTCGTGGAAAGAAATCATCAGGAGACACAATCTGATCAATGTAAAGAAGGTTGCTCTAATAGTTGGAAATATCCATGGTGATCTGGACTGCTAAGGATGTGGTGAGTCCCCCATTCCTGGAGGTATACAAACGGAGGCTGGATGACCACCTACAAGGACATGGTAGAAAGACTGAAGCCTCAGGTGGGACCTGGCTTAGGTGGCCTGGAATACTCTGGCTTTTTTTGTGTGGTCCATCTCTCACTTTGTGGTGGCTCTGTCATTGCAGGATGGCCCTTTGACAACGCCACGTGCAAGATGAGCGGCTTGGTGCAGGGCATGTCCGTGTCTGCCTCTGTTTTCACCCTGGTGGCCATTGCTGTGGAAAGGTGAGAGGTTTCCTGCTGGCTATCCGGGCTGAGTGGGCAGCAACTGCCATCCCCTCTACTGGACTGGCTGGAGAGCTGGGGCTGCTCGTACAATAGGTGGGGGCTGAATCCTGAGCCCTAAAAGGAAAGTGTGGCAGGCAGCTTCCTTTGTAGGTGTGGGGAGGTGCAGGGGATACCACCACCTTCTTCCAGAAGACCGAGAATTTGCAGAGGAGGCTTAATAGGGAGTCTTAGGGCCTGTGAGGAACTTGAGGGCCATCCTCGTTTCCTGAAGGGCCAGCAGGCTGAGTCAGCCTGGCTGACTGGGAGGAAGGGTTTTTCTCTGCTGTACCACACAGCCTCCTTGCTGGTCCCTGGTAATCCAGGTCTCGCTCCCCAGCTCCACCCACTTCTGGCTCTATAAGATTCTCTGGTAAGTATTCGTCTGCAAATATGGCCAAAGGTAAGGTCCAGGAACTAAAGAGACTTTGCAAACAGCACCGCACTGAACCAGTACATTTCGTTGCTTTCTCCCAGAGTGTAGAGGAGGTGGGTTTGTACTTCGTCTTCAAACCTACTCCACCATTTGCCTAGCTGTGACTTTGGGGCCGTGACTTAACTACTTTGAGTCTGGATTTCTTATCTATAAAATGGATGCACACTACAGCATGCTTAGGAGGACCCAGTGAGCTTCTGTATGCAAAGCACCAGGTAGAGAGTACAAATGTCAGCTGTTTTCTTTCTTACTACCCCGCCATCCTATTGGTCCTTTTTTCTTGAATAGCTCCTCACTTTCTAGACTCTAGTGTGGTCAGCCTCTCCATCTCTCCCCGCATCAATCTGATCTTTTGTAACCCCATCAAGTAGGCAGCTGGGGTGATGGAGCTAGACTCTGGTCTCTTCAAGGCTGCGAAGTTGCTCATTGGTTGGGGGATGCCCGTTCTCTTGCTGATATTGTTTCATTATCATTGTGGAGTTTTTATATGAGTGTGGTCCTCTCCCAGTATCCTTCATGTTGCATGTCCTTTAGGAAGCCTTCCTGAACTGTCCAGGCTGTATTATTTTCCTTTGCCTATTAGCTGTTATTGCACTTAGAGTCAGTATTACAAGCTTTAAGAATTCTGTTAAAGTGTGTGAATGCTATGAAGCCAGCAGGTTAAAATCATGCAGGCTGAACTAGCAAACCTTGAGTCAGACCCTGAGAGAGGCAAAAGGTCCTGTCCAACAGGGGAGAGGGTGGGCAGGTAGAACACATAAATGAAGCAAGACTCAATTTGATGAAGTAGAAAGATCACTGTGTTGGAGTCAGCTGTGCACATATTGGCCAGCGCAGGCTGTCCTGAACGGTGATGGTGGCGTGCTGTGAAGGCGGTTCTTACTCATAGTGATCCTGCATAGGGTTTCTGAGGCTGTAAGTCTTTATGGGAGTAGACAGCCTCATCTTTCTCCCAAGGAGCTAGCTGGTAGGTTTGAACTGCTGACCTGTGGTTAACAGCCCAGCTCGTAATCCACTACGCTACCAGGGCTCCTTCACGCTCTGTCCTTAACCATGTTTTCAGTCCTTGCCCCTCTCTGGGCCAGGTTTCTCTTGATTAAACAGCTTGCTTGGACAGTCCTAAGGTCCTCATTTTGGCATCGATGGATAGGAGAACACATTCTAGGACGTATGAGCCCTTCCTTTTCCTCACTATCAAACGCTCGTCAAGAAGCATGTTAAGTGTATTCTCACTTAAATCTCCACAGCAACCCTGTAGAGTAGGTAATGTTGTTGGCCCCACTTTACAGATGAGGAAACTGAGGCTCAGAAGGATCATAAGTAACTTGAGTTCTAGTCACTCATTCACACATTTATTAACAAACCCTGGGAATACTGGGATGATAAGACATGGCACCCACTTTCAGGGTTTGCAGTTGAACAATTGCCTTTTTTTTTTTTTTTAATGTTTTATTGTATATTATGTGATAGTTTACATGGGAGAACATTAGTTTCACATTCATCCTATCATATATTGTTTAATTGCCATGGTTACAGTCCCCTCCATGCATCATCAACCAACCACATCAACACCCTCCAAGCCTGTCCCTCCTCCCACCTCGGTCATCAGCACACAGCCCCTCTCCCTCTCTGGGTCTAAAGTCCCCAGCTGCTCCATCTCTCCAGGACATCATCTCTGCCTCCATCTCTGGTGTCACTGCTTCTCTGGGTAGGGAACCACCCAACGCTCTTCTCCTTTGAACAATTGCCTTTTAATCAATCACACTGTAAGGATGAAGTTTCCTCTTCATCCTTTTTCCTCCATCAGCAGTTCTCAACTCCGGCTGCACACTAAATCACCAAGGAGCTTAAAAGTAAACAAAACAATGCTCAAAACTGCTTTCCAGGCTAATTAGATTGGAAGCTTTGTCCATGAAAATTGGGCACAGATAATTTTGAAAATGCATTAGGGGATTCTGATGTATAACCAGGGTTCACAGCTACTGATTTTATAGCAAGACAGGTCTGGATTCAAGGCTGCTTCTTGCTAACTTTCTAGCTGTGTGACCTTTTAAGCTAGGTGCTGAACACCTCTGAGTTCCAGTTTGTCAGTAAAATAAAAGAAGCCCCTTATCAGCAAGCCAATGCCAACGAATGACAATCCTGTGCAGGGTAAAACTGTACTCCATAAGCTTCTCAATGGCTGTAATCTGGAATGTTGCTATTGTTGTTGTTGTTATGTGAGGCTCTAAATCTTTACGAGATCAGAAAGCCTCATCTTTTTCCCACGGAACAGCTGGTAGTTTCGAACTGCTGACCTTGTGGTTCACAGCCCGATTCGTAACCACTACACTACAAGAGCTCCTTGTAATCTGGAATGAGGCATTGGTAATCCAGTGGCAAAATTCTTGTCTTCCATGTGGTTTGATTCCGGACCAGTGTACCTCCTGTGTGGCCATGAGGCAGTGGCTATTACGCTGTCAGAGTTGGGGGTTTTATTATTTTATTTTATGAGCCTGAAAAGATTTTATTTCTTGCTTTCCAAAGAATACTATTCACTTGGTATAAATTTACAAACAGTTATCCTCTTTCAGTACTTCAAATATATTTGTCATCGTCTCTGATCGACACTGTTTTCTTTGAAATTTTAGTTTTACTGATGCTCCTTTGAAGATAATTGGTCTTTTTCCCTTCTCTGGCTCTTTTTTTTTAATTTTTTATTGTGAATTATGTGATAGTTTACATGGGAGAATATGAGCTTTACATTCATCCTGTCATATATCGTTTCATTGCCATGGTTACAATCCCCTCCATACATCTCAGATTTGGTTTTTGTGTTGTTATGATACTGAAAGATTACAGCTGAGCGTCCAGACTAAGACAGCCTAGGAAGAAAGTCCTGGCAATTATTTTTTTTTAATCAGCTAACGAAACCCTTATGTATCACAATAGTTAGATAATGATGATGGGAATGGCATAGGATCAGGCAGTGTTTTGTTGTTACACAGTACATGGGGTTGCCAAAGGTTGGGTGCTGACTCAAAGGATGCTAACAACAACAGCAAACTTACAGAGGCAGATTGCCATACCTGTCTTCCATATTGCTGCTGGGTGTATTAGAACCTTTGTTTAGTTTGTTGTTGTTGTTGTTGTTGTTAAATGCCATCAAATCTGTTCCAACGCAGAGACCCTATATAGAGTCTTCAAGGAGCAGCTGATGGGTTTGAACTGCCAATCTTGCAGTTGCTTATCCCACAGCACCATACTAGCCCAGCACAAATCTTTTGCACAGCCCAGGGACCTATCTGTAAAATAAAGGTGTGGTAGTAATTATTGGAATCCTGGTGTGGTGCTGTGGGTTAGTGCCCCGGACTGCAAAGTCGTTCCAACTGCAAGGTCGGTAGTTTAAGCTTAACCGCTGCTGCCTGGAAACCCTATCCAGAGTCTTTATGGATTGGAACTGACTTGACACCACTTAACAACAACAGTAATCCCTTCTCGGATATTCTAATGAGGAAATGGGGCAGAGATGTCCTAATTGGGGGTGCTAATGGAAGGGCCTTGACTAACATGGCCAAGAGGCAACCTATCACCATAGGTTGCATGCCCAAGGTTTTCAGGAGGACCCATAAACTGCTAACTGTGTTTTCTTTGATACACCTAATTGGATTACTCAAAGACAGAATGCTCTGAGCTGCCAGCTAATCAGTGTACCCCCCCCCCCAAATTGTACAGGCAGGCTTCACTCTCCTCCCGTTTGCAGTCTCCCCTTCCCTCGTCTCCTACATCCTGTTTGTGCCCTTGTTTTTTGTCTACTCCAACTAAGGAGCTGATTCCCTCCCAGGTGAGAAACCAATTTGCTTGCAAACTAATTAATGCCTGAGCTGTTCTCTGACGCATCCGTGAGCCCCATGATGAATAGGTGTGATGATGAATGTAAAGTCAGCCTTGTGGCCAGGTCCCCGGTCACCTGTGTCTCCTTCCTCTCTGGCTGCAGGTTTCGCTGCATCGTGCACCCTTTCCGCGAGAAGTTGACTCTGCGGAAGGCGCTGGTCACCATCGTGGTCATCTGGGCCCTGGCCCTGCTCATCATGTGCCCCTCGGCCGTCACGCTGACGGTCACGCGCGAGGAGCGCCACTTTATGGTGGACACCCACCACCGCTCTTACCCTCTGTACTCTTGCTGGGAGGCGTGGCCCGACAAGGGCATGCGCAGGCTCTACACCACTGTGCTCTTCTCGCACATCTACCTGGCACCCCTCGCCCTCATCGTGGTCATGTATGCCCGTATTGCCCGCAAGCTCTTCAAGGCCGCGGGCCCCGCGCGGGGCGGCGAGGAGGCAGCCGCGGAGGGCGGGCGGGCGTCCAGGCGCAAGGCCCGGGTGGTGCCCATGCTGGTCATGGTGGCGCTGTTCTTCACGCTCTCCTGGCTGCCGCTGTGGGCCCTGCTGCTCCTCATCGACTACGGGCAGCTCAGCGAAACACAGCTGCACCTGGTCACCGTCTATGCCTTCCCCTTTGCGCACTGGCTGGCCTTCTTCAACAGCAGCGCCAACCCCATCATCTACGGCTACTTCAACGAGAACTTCCGCCGCGGCTTCCAGGCCGCCTTCCGCAGCCAGCTCTGCGCTCTGCAGTCGGGGAACCACGAGGAGGCTTACTCGGAGCGGCCCAGCGGGCTCCTGTGCAGGCGCGTCCTGGTGGAGGTGCAGGCCAGCCACTCGGGCCTGCCCTCTGAGTCAGGGCCGGGGGCTGGAGCCTCCAGGCCTGGCCGCCTTCAGCTGAGGAATGGGCGGGTGGCCCACCATGGTTTGTCCCCAGAGGATCGTGGATGCCCCCACGTGCCGCTGGCCATACCAGCCTGGGATATTTGAGATGGTACAGTGAGGGCAGGCCCCATGTCTAAGGGAACTGACCGAAAAGCACTTTAAACAGGGTTGTGGGCAACTTTCTCTGTTGCTGTCCTCTCAGAGGAAGGCAAATGAGGGCAAGGGGAAAGGAGCTAACATTCCTTGAAGCCCTTCTATGTGATAGACTTGACGATCAGGATCTCATATATATATCACAACACTTTGAAAATGTTAAGTGCCGTCGAGGCGGTTCTGACTCATAGCGACCCTGTATAGAGCTTCGGAGCAGTCGCTGGCCTGCCAACCTTTCGACTCAAACTGACCTTTTGGTCCAGCGCATTATCCTGCAGCGCCACACATGGTTGGTCGGTTTCTTGTGTGCCGTGGAATTGGTTTCGATTCACAACAACCCTGTATAGCGTTTCCGAGGCTGTAAATCTTTATGAGAGCAGAAAACCTCATCTTTCTCCTGGCAGGCAGGGCCACACATAGGTGTCTTTTTGTTTTTTGTAATTTCCTTTCTACAGATGAAAAAACGGAGATCTGTAACTTTAAATTTCACCTTGCTTAGATGACTCCAATGACTGTATGGCTTTCACTCTCTCCAAGTGGTTCACAGTGAAATGTGTAAGTCCTAATTAGACAGCTGGGTAGAGGCAAAGAACAAAGCAAACCTGTGTATTTAATGTTTTGTGCCCAAACATCCTGAGGTCCCTTGGGTTCTGTTTCTGATGCCCTCTGACCCTTCCCTAGGAGAGAGCATGGTACCCCTTCTGCAACCTCTAAATGTACTGGCTTGTCTTGTTTATTCCAAGAAGTGTCCAGGGCCATGCTCTGCTCCCCACAGCATTACAACAGACTTCACAACCCAGAAGATGCCGAATGAGCCCTCGGGATCCCATGTTACCACTGCTACTTGCTGGGCTCTCTGGGTGTCTTAGTTCTCTAGTGTTCTAACATAAAACTCACAAGTGGAAGGCTTCAACAAACAGAGTTTATTCTCTCATAGTTTAGGAAGATAGGAGTCCAAATTCAGAGTGCCACCTCCTGGAGGCTTTCTATTTTTAGATCTGGAGAAAGGTCCTTGTCTCCTTTCATTATCTGTAGGTCCAACATTCCTTGGAGAAGATCTCCTGCGTCTTGGCATTGATCTTCCTGTGCATCTAGGAAATTCACAGCGCAGGGACCCCAAATCCAGAGGATGCACGTCACTCTTGGCTCTTCTTGCTTGGTGGTAGTAGGTCCCTCTGAGCTCTGTGTGCCTCTTTCATCTCTTTTTATTTCTCTAAAGAGACTGACTCAAGAGACAACCTAATCCTGTAGATTGTAGCTGGCTTCATTAACATCACAGAAGTGAAAGGATTTACAGCACAGGATAATCCCATCAGACCATGGCTTTAATCACATCGTGGGGAGTGATTACATTATATTAGAGCTCATCATGGGGAATTACTAGGTCTCCACTGCCAAACCATAGCGAGTCCAGGCCCAGCCAAGTTGACACAAAACCTTAACTATCACACTTGGTTTGAGCCTAGAGAAGGGAGGAGGGGGAATCTCTTGTCCCTGACTCACCCTGAGGGGGTGCACCACCATCACTCAGACCAAGGCAAGAATTACAATGTGGCAGGCAGCTGCAAAACCACATGGAAGCATCTGTTTATTCATGGACCAGGAGAAAAGGAAAGGACTATACTCAATGTCCACCTTTGGAAACACATCTGCTCACTGAGACTTCAAGCTCAAAGCCTCCCCCAAGGCCTCTCCTTCCTGCCCCCTGGAAGGGAAAAGTCAACCAAACGGAAGCTGCAGCCAGGTGCCATCTGGAGGACAAGCACTAAGTCCTTCTCCAGTATGGATGACTCGTGTCCCTTCAAACAAGTGTGGGTAGGCGATGCAGGAGTCACTCTGATCCTTATACCGAGTACCTACATCACCTTCTCCAGGAGATGAGGAAATGAAAGCACCTCAGTGGTCCTTGTCCAACAATAATCTGGACACTTTTCACTGCTACAGAAAACATGAAGTTACTAGAAATTTTGTGAGTAAAGAAGCAATATTTTCAGGGTTCAGGACAGAGAATGTGTCTCTGAGACTCCAACTGTCTCCTTAACTGATACCAGTGATTTCATCCTGATGCCCAGTGACTTCATCACTATCAAGCATAGGGTCAGAGAAAATTCCTGAGCAGTTGCATGTGTTCTCCAAGCATGTTCCCAGTTACTGTCTCATTTGAACCATACAAATGCAATTGAAGGAGTAGATGTTACTGTTGCCATTTCATAAGCAATGTAATTGAGGCTCAAAGGGGCCAAGGTCACAGGGCAGCAGAGGTCAGATCTGGAACTAGAATCTGTTTTCTGACTGTTCTTCCCACACTGCATCCTGCCTCTCAAGGAAGGCAGGTTGGGCATGGCATGGAGCCAAGCTGGAGATGCCTAGAAAGTTTTTATGCCTAATAGTGAACCTATGTCTTGGACCCAGGTCCTTTACCCCAAGTTCTTGGGTCTAGGGATGAGTCTTCTGTTTTGTTTTCTCAAGTTTTTATCGTTAATTGAATAACAGTTTACATGGGAGAACATCAGCTTTACATTCATCCTATCATATTTCATTTCATTACGATTACAATCCCCTTCATATATCATCAAATAACCAAAGGGTATACCACACAATCCTGTCCCCCAGTCATCAGCACACAGCCCCTCTCCCTCCCTGAGTCCAGAGTCCCCAGCTGCTCCATCTCTCCATGTCATCATCTCTGGCATCACTGCTTCTCTGGATAGGGTCCCATACTCTGCTCTTCCCCCTTGATGGTCCCAGGGTCCCCCACTTCTGGACTGCAAAATCAACCACTCTCCTCCTTTTGTTACAAAACGTTTACCTTTACATTTACAACACTCACAGTCAGGCCTGATAGCAATTATTCACTATTGAACCACAAGAGTCTTATCCCCATCTCCTTTCACTGCCCCATCCAGACAGGTTGGAAACCTGTGCTTATTCTTATTGTTGTAATTTCTGTGGACAATAGCTATACTGGTGTGCTGGGCAGGCTGCCAAGATCCATCAGGACCCATCAGGACCCATCAGGACCCACCAGGACCCAGTGTCTCAGGAGAGAGTGTGCCATCCTGTCTATCAGCGGGATTAGCTGGTGCCATGCATCTCATTGTTGGTGTTGGGTTTATCAATGACATGAGTCACATGAGCCAGAGGGGCCCGGCTATTTACTGTGAAGAACTCAGCCTCCAGGCTTTAAATAGGCTAAGGAAAGATCAACCCAACCCCAAAATGCCTGTCCCTGTGGTAGTGTGGGATCTGTCTGAAGACATGGGGTTCGTCTCTCCTCTGGGGTGTGTTCTCCTTCTGCATGGCCACCTGAACCACAAAATCATAGCATCTGTGCCTAGGGAGACCATGGCACTCACTCAAGTCAGCAGTGCCCAACTTGCCCACCAAGGTTATTTTGTTTTCTTTTCCCCCAGAGATGCCATGCTTGGAAAGATGGGAGACTACAAAAAAAAAAAAAAAGTACAAAGTCACAGTTCATTTATTTTTCTATTTTTATTTCTTCTTTAAAAGTCAATCAAAGGCCTCTTTTCCTGTCCCTTCAGAGCTCTGATCCCAATGGTAACAGGCATGGGTTAATGTTGTCCTATGGCAGTGTAGTCTTGTGGCTTTGTGTGCAGCTTTAAGAAGCTGAAAGTGGTCCTGAAGCTTGTGTCTGCGTAAGTTCTGACCACAGAGACCCCACGTTGGTGATTAGGGGTCTCTCTCAAGTTAGCATTGATGGGTGACAAGACAAAAGGCCCTGTGGGCAATTGTGACTGCCTTCTGTCCTTCAACTGCCCGGAGCCTCTGTGGGCTGCACTCCTTGACTAGCATGACTGGGGAATTGTATATTCACTGTAAACGATTATAGTTTTAGAAAGCTACCTTTATAATTCAAGGCGCCCTGGTAGCATTGTGGGTTATGTATTGGGCTGCTAATTGCAAAGTCAGCTCCACCAACCACTCCATGGGAGAAAGATGAGGCTTTCTGCTCCTATAAAAGATTTACAGGCTTGGAAACACTAGACAGGGTTGCTATGAGTCAGGACCTACCAGATGGCATACAGCAGCAGCGGCAGCGGCAGCATTTTTATAATTAGAGCTTTATTACATTTATGTGACTTCAGTGTTCCGCCTCCTGGGCCCCAGCAGGGACCTTGTATAGCTACTCTAAGGTACTTACAGAGCAAGTGATACGACTTCTCCAGGTGAACCATCCTCTGTTTACAGGCTGGTAGGGTCTCCTAAGGTGACGGCTCTTTTACAGGCAGAAAACTTGAAGAGGGGTTGGTGTACGATGGGGGAAAAAGGCCAAAACCTGTTGACATGGAGCACCCCCATTCCACAGTGGTTTTTGGAGAGACTGTCTCCTTTCCTGCCACGTGCAGCATGAGCAGTGGTTCTAGTCACAGGTCTCCATTGATGAATGATCTCTTGACTTCACCCAGAATACGCAGGTCCCAACAGACCGATGTGAGCTGGAGGCGGGTGCCCGGCTGGGACCCCACAAACCACAATTTACCCAGCCCGATGCTGAAGCCTTTCCCTTGAGGCTTGGAGGACGCATGAGTTGACTTGGGTTGGAATGGAGGGCAGAGCTGGCAAAGTGGATGAGAGCCCCCTATCATTAGACTACTGTGTATTCATCCAAGACTCAAGGTGAGAGCCAAACCCAGTGCTGGATGGACAAAGCATTGCTATTAAGCCCTGTGCCTTTCTGCGTCCTTTTCCTCAGCTCACCCCTCAGAAGTGCCACCAAGGAAAGATAGATGAGAAGAAGGAGGGGACCAAAATGGGCTTCGTTACAAGCAAACAATGCTGAATCAATAGGTTCCTTGTTGAATAACCTGATTATGTTTATGGCATTTTATTGTCGCTGTTTTTTTCTCCTCTACAAAAGCGCTATATAATCACTGTGGAAAGTTTTACAAAACTTAATAAAACAAGCAAAGAGAAGAAAATAAAAAGCACAA